GCTAGCCTCCTTCCCAGCTGCCGCTCTCCTGCACCCTCATGGCCACTTCCTTCTCGCCCTCCTTTTCCGCTCCACTTCTGTCTCCTTTGCTAATGTCTCTTGTAAATGCCTCTTGCTTGGTAAGTTGCTGCACTTCTAGAGTAGGAGCAAGCCCCAAGGAGGGGCTGCGCTCCTGCGCACGATGGGCCTGATCCAAAGCCTGTGGAAGAGACGAATGTACCTCTGAAGGGTTGAGCCTTGCTCTGCGCCCTGTCAGGCAAAAACAAAATGCTCCCTGCCCCTAGGAATCAGAGGATGCTAGAGCTGGAAGGGACCTCGAGAGATCATCAGATCCAGTCCCTGGGCCTCGTGGCTAGACCGTCCCTGACGGGTGTCTGTCTAACCCGCTCTTAAGTATCTCCAGTGACGGGGATTCCACAACCCCCCTGGGCAATTTATTCCAGTGTTTCACCACCCTGACAGGTGGGAAGTTTTTCCTAATGTCCAACCTGAACCTCCCTTGCTGCAGTTTAAGCCCCTTGCTGCTTGTCCTGTCCTCAGAGGCCAAGGAGAACAATGTGTCTCCCTCCTCCTTGTAACACCCTTTTAGGTACTTGAAAACCACGATCATCTCTCCTCTGTCTTCTCTTTTCTAAACTATAAGCGAGCCCAATTCTTTCTGTCTTCCCTCATAGCTCATGTCTTCTAGACCTTTAAGCATTCTTATTGCTCTTCTCTGGACCTTCTCCAGTTTCTCCACATCTTTCTTGAAGCGCAGTGCCCAGAACTGGACACAGTACTCCAGTTGAGGCCTAACCAGCGCAGAGTAGAGCAGAAGAATGACTTCTCGTGTCTTGCTTACAATACTCCTGTTAGTGCAGCCCAGAATCATGTCTGGTTTTTTTGCAATAGCGTTATACTGTGGACTCATATTTAGCTTGTGATCCACTCTGACCCCTAGATCCCTTATGCACGACTCCTTCCTAGACAGTCGCTTCCCATTCTGAGAGAGAGAAACGGCTTGTTCCTCCCAAGTGGAGCACTTTGCATTTGTCCTTATTAAACTTCATCCTAGTGACCGCCGACCATTTCGCCAGTTTGTCCAGATCATTTTGAATTATGACCCTCTCCTCCAAAGCAGTTGCTACACCTCCCAGCTTGGTGTCATCTGAAAACTTAATAAACATCCTCCCTCTGCCAATATCTAAATCATTGATGAAGACATTGAACAGAACTGGTCCCAAAACAGACCCCTGCAGAACCCCACTTGTTATGCCCTTCCAGCAGGATTGTGAACTATTAACAACTACTCGCTGAGAACGCTTGTCCAGCCAGCTGTGCACCCACCTTATAGCAGCCCCATCTAGGTTGTATTTCCCTAGTTTATTGACCGTGTCAAATGCCTCACTGAAGTTTAGGTATCCCAGACCCACCGCTCCTCCGTTCTCCACAAGGCTCATTATCTTATCAAAGAAAGCTCTCTGATTGGCTTGGCATGACTTGTTACGCCAAGAGCTCCAGGCTGAGCGGGTCAGGAAGAGGCTCTGTGCTGGGAAGACTAGAAGGGGAGTTTTATTACTTTTAGCCTGGCTTGTGGGGGCGTTGTGGAAGAAGTGAGTTTTCCTGGGGCCCTCCAATGCAGGGAGCTGCTGCGGGGGACTGATGCAGCATGAGGGCACTGCATGGGAGCTGATGTTTTTGCTGCCTGTGTTCAGCTCACACTTGTGTTCCAAGGGCTGCACGGCTACTGAATTCTTGCCACGCCTCGGGGAGGCAGGGGAGGAGGAGAACCCAGGTAGGGATGAGGAAGTGGAGACGGTTAGAAGTGACTTGTCCCAGGGTAAACAATGAGTAAGCAGCTCAGACAAGATCAGGACGTGAGATCACCTGACTCCTAGCCCCGTGCTCGTGCCCAGAGGGCCTGCTGCAGTTCCCACGTGGTCAGCCGGGAACCGGCAGTGGTCCTTAAGTGCCAAGGTGGGTCGGGAGGGGGGGGTCGCTCTGAAGGGGGTCTCTGGAATAAACACGTTGGTGATCCTTTGTTCAAAGGAGCTGCATCCAGTGCTCTGCAGCTCCGTCCTTTTGGCCTGTTCTCGTCTGAGGTGAGGTGTGCCCCATGCCCGCTCTCCGTCTGAGAACACACATACAGATGCTCCTAGCACTGCGGCTTTGCGCAAATGCCTGATGCCAACCAGGGTTTTAATGTTGATCTTGTTGTCACCTTGTGTCAGGGGAACATGAACCTCCTTGCTTCAGCTACGGGCTCATCTAAGCAGCAAATTCAATCTGTAGCACATCAGCTTGGTGCATGGTAAAGTCCTATGTGGACACTACTACGCGTCAGTGCAAATCCTGGAGTGCAGCTTCTCACGGGGCTTTCGGACATCGGGCCGCGGTCTGTAAGGGAAAGTGACTAGCAGGCCACGGGGCTCTGTTTATCTCCATGTCTGCAGGCAAGGCTGCTCCCAGTGGCTGTGGTTCACCGTTCCTGGCCACTGGGAACTGCAGGAAATGGTGCTGGCCAGGCCATAGCTCCCATTGGTACGGAATGGGGAACCGCAGCCCCTGGGAGCTGTGGGTGGCCGGACCTGTGGATGTTTGGGTAAACAGCATCTCGTGGCCCGCCAGCGGCTTACCCTTCCAAGCCGCGGCCCCGAGGTTGAAACCCCTTGGCTTAGCAAACTGGTCTTGGAGCAATGTGCTGAGCTGCATTCTGGGACTTTCTCTGTGCCCTGGAAGTGTCTGCACAGGACGTAACTGCCAGGCAAGCGGGTGCTGCAGATTCCCACCCTGCCTTGTTGTGCAAGCAAGCCCCAAGCTCTAAGACACTAGGAGCAGGTGTCTGCTCTTCTCCCTGACCATCACATACCAAGCGATTCACCTGACATGACCAGGCCTGAGTTGGGCTCTTCTGCGTTTGCACTCGGGAGCTGTGGAAGAATTTGATCTTGCTGGAAGCTGAGCCCTGTCTCAGGACTGGCCACGTGAGCAGGGGCTGTTCTACTCCCCACGTGGACAGCACAAGGCAGAGCCGGCTGGTGAACTATGGATTACAGGACTGGAAAGCTGCAAAAATCTCTCCTCACTCACTTACTTGTCTGACCTTAGGTCCCAGGTATGCTCGGTGCCCTGTCGACATCTAGGGAAGCACAATTGCTGCCCAGTTAGCTTCTGAGAGGAACTTCCGCAAAATCCCGAGCTATGTAAACTCGGTGCAGTTTTACTTTTTGGGCCGCGGCCAATGCTCCTGGCACTGAGAGCGCGAGGTTCTGTGCAACCCTCACATCCTCTTCCCTCGCAGAGGCTCTGGCCTGTTAAATACCTGGCGCAGCTGGAGCCGAGCGCATGGGGTGAATTCTCCCCCATGCGTTTTAGTGCCTCCAAATGGACAGAGCAATTGTTGCCCTGGGTTTCGCTTCCATAAATGAACTGCTGCGTGGTCCGGAGCCTGGCTCTTCTCGGGATCGCCGCTCCAGGGCGGGAGGTTTGGGCGGGGGTCCCCCGCAGCTGGTGTGCACGCCGCCAGGCTCCCATGGCATTGGCTGTCAGCGAGGCGACGGGACACTTTTGGGGAGCATGCGAGGCTGAGGGGCTCAGCAGGTGTCTCTGGGGGATTGGGGTGAGGTGGGAGATTTGAAAGTGAGACGGGAGGGTCATTTAAAAGTATCAGCTGGACGAATAGCTTCAGTCCACCATCGACTGTCCTGCGGCCCCTGGATTAAGCCCTAGGCTGTATTACAGGAAAGGGCACTTGTGTTGGGAGCAGTTCTAGGAGCTGGCCCCATGCTCCCCTTAGCTCTGTGTGCTTGGACCAGGGTGGCAGCCCCTTGCATTGCTCAGCTAGCACCCGGAACCCTGCTGTACGCCAGAGCTCAGCCCCTGTGCTCTGCAGCCCCTGTGAAGGACACCGGGCCCTGCTTCTGTCAAGGGGTGAGGGGGTCTCTTTTGGACGTACCCGAGGACTTTCCCCTGGAGCGCGACTCTCGCTCCTGGAGACTTTGACTCCACATGAAACCCAAATGTCTGGTGCTGGGTGACCCCAGATACAGCCACGGACCCACCAAGAACCCGACTAGGCTCTTAGGGGTGCATCTGCACGGCACCCGTAGGTCGAACTGAGGTACGCAGTGTGCGCTACGCCAGTTGCACGTCTGTCTTCAATCTCATTTCGAAATCGCTTATTTCACATTTGGCGCTGGGGTTATCGATTGTGACCCCGCTGCTGAGGCGCTGGCCTGGGTGGCCAGTTCATTTCGAAGCCCCCCTGGAGCGTGGATGTCCATGGAACCCTGCAGTTAAACTCGGCCCGTGGGCGGGTGCGGGACGGATCCTTTGAGGCACTCTCTTGCCGTCTCCTGTAACCAAGGGCTTTGTTTTTTCCATTTCAGGACTCTTCGTACCTCGACGAGCTTTCCAACAACTCCCTCTTCTCCTCCCCCGCGGACTCCCTCTCCGACATCGCTGATGCTCAGGAATTCCTGCCCGCTGACAGCCTGAACCACGTGCCAACGATATGGGATGTAAACACCTCGCAACAGAACCAAACAGAGGTCAGTGACAGCCCCCCCTCTCCCCAGCAATTAAAGCCTCCAGGCCTGATTCTGCATCTCTCTTGCCAAAGCCCTGCCCGAGGAGTTAGGGAATCCAGTAGGGGTGAAGCAGCCCTCCCTTCCGGCCCAGAGGAAGTGCTGCTGCAAGTCTGAACTTGGAGCACAGGAAGGCTGAGGGGAAGGAAGACCCGGGCTGTTCTAATGAAAGAAATCTGCAGGGACCGTGGGCGTCTAGCTGGGCTGCCCTGAAGTTACTGCTGCCTGGCTAGGCCCGTTCTTGCGTGTGTTTTGTCGCTCATGACCGTGTCTGTTGCTTCAGCTGTTCGTGTATACAATACCCGCTGCCGGCACGCTGAACAGCCAGAGAATGCAAGAGAGAAGTGGTAACGTGGCGCAGGGGCGGGAAACAAATTCCCTTTGTCATAACAGAACAATAGCCACTGTTGCTGCTGCCACTAATACCTTCCTGTCTGCCAGCTAAAGCTGCCTTCCTGCCCCATCGCCTTCCTGCTCGCTGATTGGGTTCATCCCAGGACAGGCAGCTCACTGGAGCTTCATTCCTCAGTCACTTCCTTGTGGGGACAACGAGGAGTTGTTGTGCACATCAGATCGCCTTTCCTCTCTGTCTTTGGGGTTTTTAATTGATCCCAGCGTTTCCTGATGGAACGAGTTAATTTAGCACGTGCAGCCCTGGGATTTCTGTTTCGTTTTTGCATGGCTGGCTGTAACTCGCAGTACGTTACACAAACGGATCGCCCGAGAGACGCGTCGAGTGGTGCAGCTTTTCTGTCTGAATTTTCAGAGCACAGATTTCATTCTGTTGCAGAAGACGAGAGTGATGCATCCAAACCCACGAGCAGAGGATTTCATCTTACAATTCAGCGTGTGATGTGAGATTTCCACTGCTTGTGTGATTGCTGTAAAATGCTGGCAAGTGAATCACACTGTAATCCTATTCCTAGTCCGTAAGATTGCAGATGGTTTTGCTTTTGTGTAGTCTGATTCTGCTGTAAGGGAGCTGCCGCATACAGATGAGTTATCAGTGGTGAGATGTTTGGAATAACACTGCTTGATGTGTCCCGAATCAGTGCTGATAGGGTGGTTTTATTCCATTTTGATTGATCAAATATCTGGGTCTGTAGAAACAGGGAAGAGTCATTCAACTTTGTTAGGACACTTGTAAATGTCATTGTCTAACGTCAGAGCTCGCAATGTCGGTGTTAACTTTGGAAGTTTTCCAAGTGAAGGCTAGCGAGGTAGTACCAGCCAGTACCCCCTTTGCTGTGTCCCATGCTCCAGCAAGCACTCCGCCAGTGGGAACGCCATTGCTGGTCCTTCTAGTCCAGATGCTTCAGAGAAAGATGCAAGAAAATGCCTGGTAGACAGTTCGAGAATAAGCTTTCTCTGGAGAACCTCCTTTCTACCCCTTATCAGTTAGTGGTTAGTTTATGCTCTGAAACATGAGGGTTTGACCTTTTACTTTTTTATCAGATTGACATAGCTGTAGAGTCTTTCATTATATTTGATCCTCTTTGAAATCTTGCTAAGAGATCCGATTGATGATGTCATGTGGCAGAGAGTTCCACATGCTAACGATGGGTTACGGAAGGAGCATTTCCCTTCTCCGGTTTTACATCCGTTGCCTTTTAGTGGGGGAAGATGCATCCACATTTCCCTTCTCCAGTTTTACGTCCATTGCCTTTTAGTGGGGGAAGATGCATCCTGAGTGTGAGAGGAAGAAAATTTGGGAAACACGTCACAGACTCACTGATCAACCCTGATCCCGTAGGCTGTGAATACAGCCTGCACTCTGACTGTGGGCGATGACCCTCTTGAGAAGGGACCAGACGGACTCCATGATGAGCCTCCTTTGCCCATTCCAGATCCCAGATTGCAACTCCTCGAGGAAGAGGCGTTTATCACAACGTGTTAGTTCTGTTTTATCGTTTTGGAAACAGGGACAGCGGAGAGGAACGCTGCCCAGCAACATCTGAGGCAATTCAGCAGGCAAAACACAGTTGCACAATTTGTAACGGGATTATGAAATGTCATTTAAAAATCCCTCATTGCCAGTGGATTGTTTTTCTCATGTCCCTCTCGAAAGGGACTGCAAATGAGTAAAGCAATGGTTAACCCTTTGAAGCCCACGGCAGGCGTTTTCTTGCCCTGTCAATGCAGGTTAGGAATGTGGATCATTCAAGGCTCTTTTTAAACACTGAGACCCTTCTGCAGCCTGTCAATGCAGGTTAGGAATGTTGATCATTCAAGGCTCTTTTTAAACACTGAGACCCTTCCGGCCAGCCAGGTCCAGAGGAGAGACATTTATACAGAGAGGAGGCAATTTTTCAGCTGACGAGTTCATTTTGTACTGGAGTGTTAGCAAGACGGGCCCAACGAGAGGACAAGTAAGGCAGGGAAGGAAAAGGCTGAATAAAAGACGATTCAGTCCTGCAATTGTTAGTTGCTTTATCAAGTGAGTGTCTGTGCTGCATTTCCCTCTGTTCCTGTACGTGGGGCAGAGGTGTTTTACACGTTGTGTTCTACCTGGGACCTAGGAGTGACCTAGTGGGTAGATGGGAACAGAGCAGGAGAGGAATTGTGGAGCTCAGAGTTAGGACTGGCTGGTTAGATCAGCTCCCTCAGGATTGTTCCCTGGTGTATGTTCCCTAATGTCTGCCTGTTACTGTGAAATGCCCCAAGCAGCCAGAAAGCCACCGCTGTCTTTAGGACACTCTGCCACCCGAGCCGAAGCTCTAGGGGTGCCAGTGAGAAATGTGTGCACCAGCACCCTGGGGATAGCTGAGCTGAAGAGCCTGAGAGTCAAGGAACGGGTGGGATGATAAAGAATCCTCTTTCCTTGACAGCTGAGGCTGCTGTGCCCTCCCGTGCCAGTGGAAAGGGGAGCGCTGGGTCTTTTCCAGTGGCCGAGGATTTTCCTGTAGGGTTAGGTCTGGGGGATGGGGTAGTCCACCTGCTTTCCAGATGGGCTGGCACGGCAAACATCGCTTCCAGCTTCTTTCCGGGAATTCTGACTCAGGCTTCCCATAAGGGAGGACGGTTCTCTTGTCTCTTTAATTATTGACTTAAAAAGAGTGTTTGTCTCTGGCCTTCCCAGTTTCACTTCTGCCTTTGGAGGGTGTCTGGCTGGACAGGGCTGGCACCCGTCCCTGGCTGTACATTTGGAGGAGTGGGACCGGTGGAGCACTTGATTACTTTTGGGCTCCCTGATTCGCTGGCTTGATTTTTGTTCCTCCTTTCGGGAGATGCCAGTAGGGTTTGGGGAGTACAGAGCCAGAATAAGATTCTCGTCAGTTGTGGCTTCCCGGGGGGAAGGGCCGGGAGCCGTCTTTACTAGCTGTGGTGCGGGGCTGGAAGCGGTTCCGCCTGAGCTCTGCCGTAGCACTTTTCCTCCAGAGCGCGCCAGCTATCCCATGCGGCACTGCGAGCCCATTGGTTGAGGACTTGCAGGGTTCCTGGCTGGGGTTAAGGATGTTCCAAAGGATTTATTTTTGTAAACATTTAACTGCCAAAACTTACACGTTTACACGCCGGGGCCAGGCAGGAGCCGGTGAGCCCTGGCTCCCGCCAGCCCTTCAACCCCTGTGCTGCTGCCTCTGATGCAGAGGCAGCAGCATGAGGGACAGGCAGCTCTGCAGGAGCCAGTACCATGGGGAGCCGGCTTAAAAGCTGCTTCCCTGCGCACCCTCCTGTCTCTGATACCGAGGCAGTGGGGGGGGGGGCGCAGAAAGATGCATGTAACCGTGAGGATTAACCAGTGAATGCAGGCTCACGGTTAATCGTGTAAATGTGCACGTGCATATCCCTAGTGCGGAACCAAGCCCTGAGCCCACTGAGGGGATATGCAGAGAACGTCAGCACCACTGGGGGTCTGAAACCAGAATGGTTTGGGAGGGTCACAGCAGGACTCTGCAGAGCTGCTTCCAAGACGGATAGGAAACCAAATCAGTCTTAACCCTTCCCACTGCTGAGACCTCGCCGTGCCCTTGAGGACGCTGTTCCGATGCTGGATGGCTAAAGCCATAGAGCACGGCAGGATTTAACAGGAGTGGAAGGTGTCTGAGATGAGGCTACGGCGTTCAGCGTGAGAGGGCAAACGCAGGGGTCGAGATGGCCTGTTTTTAACAGGCGTGTGGCTGTTGCGGCGCAGGGAGAGCGAGCGATCGCCATCTTGCAGGCCCATTCACGCCACGTCTGCGTCCCCCGAAACGGTCTTCCTCCCCGTGGGAACTGCCCTCGTCGCCAGCTCTCCGGCGTGGGACTGTCCCGCGCAGCTTGGCAGGGGCGAGCAGAGCATGTGACCTCCCGAGTCTCGGCTGGGTTTGGATGGACGGGTGGAAAGCTGCTTTCTCAGACCTTGCGTTTTCTCTTCCAGCTGTTCTCTCCCAGCAGGTCCTTCGCAGGCCTAGAAAGTTTGGAAGACCATCTTGCTGCTCCCCCAAACACCCCACTGCTCATAAGCTATCAGGTGAGGAAGAGCATCGGACGGCAGGGGCAGGCACCCAGCGTGTACCCAGATCCTGGGGACACAAACCTGGCCAGCGGCCTCCCTGGGAAAAGCCACGACTGGCCAATCAGATTCTCTGCCCTTCCCCCACTGAGCCATCACTGAGTCTCCTTGGCGCCTCGCTGATTTGAGGGAGCAGCATCTCCTTCCGCCACCCTGCGCTCCAAGCCGCCCTGCTTACAGGCGCCGCGGTGTTGCCAGCCCCAGTGGCTGGGACCCTGCTGTGCTCTGAACTGGTCTTGATCCCTCGCGGAGCTCGAGTGACAGCAAAGCTGGGTCCTGCTCACCGAGGTTGGCTTGCAATGCCCTTGCTGGGCCACCTGTGAGAGGCCCCCTCAGCCCGCTGGCCCTGTGCCGCTGGGCGAGGAAGGGAGCGGAGCGGAAGCCGAGGGGCGGGCGTGTGTGTTTGGAAGGGGCGGATTTAAACAAAGGCACGTGGCGTGGCCCTGCTGCCCAAGGCAGCCGGTTTGTACGGCTTTGGGTGATGCCCAGAA